TTTGTTCTCCTCTGCAAAGTATTTGTTTTCCTCATCCTACTCCCTATTCCTATTCTTGAATTTATTCTGCATTTCTCTTCTTCCTCATCATCCGCCTCTTTTTCCACACACACTTCTGCAAATATGTTTTTTTTATTTCTTGATGGATCTTTGACGTCACATTAAAATTTGATGTCATGACATCAATGTTTTATGTTACCCCTCTGCTTCATGATGCCATAACATCAAAATCAGCATTGTGACATCAATCTCTGGGTCCTGACATAACCTATGCATCATGACATCAAACTCTGCATTATAGCAAACTCTGTGTCGTGACATCAAATCTGGGTCATGTCATGAACTCTGTGTCATGATGTCAAACTCTCCGTCAGGGTACCAGACTATGGGTCGTGACTTCACACTTTGCATTATGACGTTACACTCTGCGTCATGGTGTCCAACTCCGTGTCATGACAAAGGAACTCTGCGTCATGGTTGTAAACGCTGAGTGATGATGTTAAACTCTGCGTCATGACGTCAAAGTCTGCGTCTTTAAGATACACTCTGCTTCATGGCGTTGAACTTCAAATTCTGCACTAGCAATAGCAAACTGAAGTGTCATGTCATATGTCATAACATCAAACTCTGGGTCATGACATTAACTGTGCATCATGGCGCCAGACACTGCTTCATGACGACGAACTCTGAAATATGGTGTCAGACTATGTCATGACATCGCACTCTGTGTTGTGATGTCAAACACTGCGTCATAGCATTACAATCTGAGTCATAACGTCAAACTTTGTGTCATGACGTTACACTTTGCGTCACAGCATCAAACTCAGCCTCATGACGTCAAACCATTCGTGATGACTTCAAACTCTGCGTCATGACGTTAAACGGCTGTGATGAAGTGCAACTCTGTCATGACAACGAACTCTGCGTCATTGTGTAACCGCTGGGTCATGATGTTAAACTCTGCGCCATGAGGTCAAATTCTGCATCATGGCGTCAGACTCTGTCATGACATAAGACTATGGGACAGGATGTTAAACTCTGCGTCATGACGTTACACATTTTATCATGATTCCAGACTCTGCTTGATGGCGACAAACTCTGAGAATGGTGTTACATTTTGCGTCATGACATCCATCTCTGTGTCAGGATGTTACACTGTGCGTCACGGCGTCAAACTCTGCCTCATGCTGCTAACTATTCGCAATAACTTCATACTCTGTGTCATGATGCTACACTGTGTGTCATGACGTTAAACTCAGCCTCACAACGTCAAACTATTTGCAATAATGTCATACACTGTGTCATGACGTCAAACTCTGCGTCATGACATCCATCTCTGAGCCAGACTCTGCATCCTGATGTTAAACACTATCATGACGTTAAAAACTCCGGGTCATGACAAAGAGCTTTTCAGCCAGTCATGACGCAAAGTTTTTATTCATGTGCATCTGTCATAAGAACATGCCAGCCTCAATAACAGTATCTGATCATCTCTGAAGAATAGAATTCTGATGAATCGGGTATCGGACCTTTTGAAACTTTCTCCTTTCCAAGTCCCACTGCAGTCTTTCCGCTCCTGTTCTTCCTTCATAATCATTGGTCCCCTCCTCCTCCTACCTCCTCCTCCTCCTCCTCCCTCCTCCTCCTCCTCCTCCTCCTCTGCTGCTTTATCTAACACCCTCAGCTGCATTATGACACACCACTCCCCCCCCTTCCCTTTTTTTTTTCTCTGTGTCTGGTTTCTTATCCTGCAGATTCTCTCAGGATACTCTTTCACCTCTATCTCAGTCTTCCCCTACACACACATTGTACAGTATGCATCCTCTCATCCTGTCGCTATCTATTCTTCTTCTCCTCTTCATCTTCTTCTTCCTGTTCTTCTTCTTCTCCTTTTTCTTCCTCTTCGCTCCTGCTCCCCTCTCTCTGATCTCCTCATGTAGCAGCCTCAGCGGTGAAGTCTCTTAATAATTTATAAGAATCTAAAATTCAAATGAACATCACACACACACACACACACACACACACACACACACACACACACACACACACACACATACACACACCTTTTATTAACGGTAAGGAGTCAGACCTCTCTCCTCTCCATCCCAGCATCCCAGGGTCCCTCGTAGACGGTAACCATGACAACCCCTCGTTCTAGAAAGGACGAGAATGAAGCCCTCTCCCTCGTCACTTTTCTGGCTCCGTATTTTTCTATTGTAATGTTTCTGACTTTCGTTAAAAAGAAGAGGAATACTTACTAGATTTTAAACCCTGTGTGCACAACAACATTTCAAGGAAATAAAAGCATTTCCTGTGTTACAGGGTTTTTGTGATTCTTTTGCACACTCAACACTGTGATAAACACAAGAACGTACATGTAAGTAAGGGACAATAATATGTGATAATCTCTCCACTCTACAGTGGCAAAATATATAATTCAGTGATGGACTTTTATATTTATTAAGGATAATAACTGACTTATTTGTCTCATCAATAATTAGAGGCTTGATGTGTTCAAAAGACTGAGAAATATACTTTCTATTATCAAAATGTGATCTTTATGGGACATTTGAAAAGTCTTAAGAACTGTATGATTCAGTTAATTTATCCCATTTATTTGTTGGGTCAGAGAAGGCCTGCGGAGACTATTTAGCTATACAACCAACTTTTTAACAATTGAATAGAGCGCCATCTTTGAACTTATCCACTTCTCATTTATGCATCCATGATTTGTTTTTAATAATAATAATAATTGGACAACAATTGATCTTGATGGCCTGGAGGAGGAAGGTATCTCTGTCTTGGACTAATTGTTAATAGTTGAAAATCATCACTTCTCTCGCTCTTTGTTGTGCCCAACAACATTCAAGAAAATAAAAGTGGTTTCTGCTGGTTTTATGAATACATTGTGAATACTGAATCCCATTGCTGTAGTAAAAAAGGTCCTATTCTGCTGATGTTCAGGTTCATACTTGTATGTAGTGTCTCTACTGTGACACGTCTCCATGCTTTAATGTTCAAAAAGCTCTTTATTTTTCTCATACTGCCTGTGCTGCAGCACCTCTTTTCACCCTCTGTCTGAAACCAGAGCCCAGTCTGCTCTGATTGGTTAGCTGGCCGGCTCTGTTGTGATTGTTCTAGAGATGTCCCGCCCCTTAGCCTGTCACGTACAATGTGTTGGAGCGCTAGCCAATAAAAGCATGAGTGTTACATAGTGATGTCACTAGTGTGTGGGAGAGAAACTCCCTCTGGAGGGAACACAGGGAATTTAGCCTTTGCAGACCATTTACAGTACATGCACAAAAACCAATGTATCCCACCCACACTAAAGGAAAGGGTAAACCCCAAAAAGCATAGGGCCCCTTTAAGATACATTTAATCCAATAGTGGAAAAAAAATCCTTAATTTTTTATCTTGTACATTTTGATATCAGGAATGTATTTTTTCTTTATGCAAATGTTTAGCTTTATAATCTATATATCTAACTTATATTTGAGACTTAAGAATTTCTTCTTCTTTTTGAGAATATCCATATCTTTGTAAATGTAACACTCCTCTATAGTACGCTGTTCCCCTGGCGTGTTTGGCAGTCGTTAAATTAATGTTTGGTTTCCTTCAGATCTCCATCCAGGACTGGGATTTATAGTACAAGCTCCCTGGATCAGAGACGCCTGTATAAATGTACCAACACTAATTAAATCTCCCCTAGAGTATTTACAACGCTGCCACCAGTAAAAGTGTCAAATTAAGAAATGATATTTACCCTCAGATGTATTCACGAGCCTGCACACTGATAGGTATTTAATGGGATTTATTCCCTGCAAACATGATCAAATAATCAACAGCAGTAGATCAACTTTGATAAATGTATTTGTGTACACTCATTCTGTCAGTTTAAGGCATGCACAGGTACAGAAAGAGTCCGGTGTCAGGAGATAGCAATCAATAATTAGATAAGGACTCATGCTTATAGCACCCCCCCAGTTTGAGTTTTTTTAGCAAGCAGGAAGCAGGTTATACTGAGCGTTACAAACAGTAGATTATCATGTAAATACAAAAAGAGATCCAGATAATGTGAATAGAAATATAAAAATACAAAGATCAGGGAATCAAAAGAGCGTTTACAAAAGAAATGAAAATGATAGACAGGAGACTAAAGAAATAACACAAGAAGAAAGTGATGTTGAGATGTTCTGCGGAAGATTTTCAAAATCAAATCAAAAGCTTCTCTACATATAAGATCTCTCGTATTTTGACTGGACCGTTGTTTATCTATTTAATGCAACTTATCTCGTTTCTTTTATTATTACTCCACATCTACAACTCCTCATTCTTTTCATTTGAAATGCTAAGTAAATGAATAAATGTAATCACATTCATTATAAATCAAGCTCTTGAATTAATACAGTAAATGATGAGCTTGAAATAACACAACATTGCCTCAAACAAATTGACATTTTACAAGAAAATAAAAACAAGTGAAATGTACATCAATGATTGAATTGTACTCCTGAAATCATCATTATTGCTGTTGAATGAATGCAGCTAATCATGAGCATAAACATCTCAGGAAAGGTGCAAAATATGAACAATAATCCAAGTGGCTAATTTGGTAGATTTTGGTATTTGCTAAAAAGTCTGTAAATTAGATTCTATATTAACCCTTAGATGCACTCTTCCATAAGTGGGTCAAAAAGGACCCGTATTAGAATAATATGTGTTTTTATGCCATTTTTGTCATTTTGGTTAAGAGAAATCACTTGTATAATATTTAGTATTATATTTTTGCTTCACACTAGAAATATTTTATATTTAATTTTTCACTATTTATAATTTTAGACATTTTTTTTACATTTTGAAAAAAAACGTTTTCCCATAGGATTCCATAGAAAATGCATGCGGGTCATTTTTGACCCACTTATGGAAGCTTGGGGTAGTAATACAAAAACTACAATTTCTTAAAATGTAAATTAAAAATTTGAATGGCACGATATCCAAAACATGTTTTTTGAGGAATAGCTGGAATATGAAATGATACAAAAAATGTAATTACAAAGATACTTCAAGAAAACCACCTCACCAGGTCAAAAAAGACCCACTTATGCATCTAAGGGTTAATACTTTAAAAAGTAAATATGATTATTATTTGTATGTCATTTGGAAATTGAATGTGCATCCTTTTTGGAAAATGGCCAATAAGGAACAAAACAAATGATACATGCTGAAAATCTTCCTCAGAACTGTTCATTTCACGTGTAAAATTAGATGTTATATATATATTTATACATATATTGTTCACTCACAGAAATTGTACCAGTTGAATTACAGATTTCTGGGAATGTGTTCACATTTAACACCCTTCATGTTAATACCATTATTAGTATGTTAGTAAGTGAAAAAAGGAACACAAATAGATTTAACAGTCGGTTAAAATCAGTGGAACAACGTGATAAAACACTGTAGGCAACTCTGAGAGGTAGCGCAAGCAAAGTCCATACAAAACCGTGTACAAGTACACAATAAACTGAGGGAAGCTAGCATTCGTACTGACAATCAAGCCGGGACCGTTGTTTTGCATAATGTGGTTAGTAAACATGCTACATACAGTGTGAAGGTGTGAGGCAACTTTACCTTCCTCCCCCAACCTGACCTTATCAGACCTCACCTCTACGCAGAGACACCGTCTGATTGGTGCAAAGTTCAACATTTATCTGCTTCCTTCTTTTAAAAAAATCCCTCTTGTGCAATCTTGGTGGGGATTTATTTGTTGGTCAGTTACATCCGTAAGGAAGAGAAAACATTTGGATATCAATAGCGTGCTGCAGGAATGAGTCCTCAAACCCTGAAATGAGTTAGCATTCTAGCACTTCCTGATCCCTTCTCTGGAAGTTCATTTGGTCAGAACCCTGAAATAAGGTTTGTGGTTCAAAAATGCGAAAGAGATTTTACCGTTTAGTCTTACAACTTTAAATGCGTCATTATATAACCTACTCGTCAATATCTGAAGATTCGTTGTGTCTTTGAAACCGCGGTTGCTAACAGGTGGCTGGATGAGACTACTAAATGTCATCTAGCCGAACATTAGCCACCTTTAGCTTGGCGCTGGTCCAGCCGAACGTTAGCCACCTTTAGCTTGGCGCTGGTGATGTCAAGTGACCGTGCTGTAGTTTGTTTATAACATTTTCTTCTGGAGATTGAATTTCCATTTCTATTAATATGTGGAGATTATCCTTTCGAACAAAAAAGTGTAGGTATCCTAAATGTAGGTTTTCCACAGATATTTGTTTCTGGAATATTCCACAATCCAATGAAAAGATCCAATTAGCTCTTTGTGGAAGGAACCAGGGAAATGCTCAATTCAAGGTTTGTACTACTCAAATAAGTAATTCCTGCACCTCTCTACACCAGGTAGACATAACACAATTCCCGTATTATGTATTTACAAAGTGCTGCTCAGTTAGCGCTCCTGCTAAATGAGGCTACGGTATTATGTAAAAGCATTCTGTTATACATACTGTAAACATGCACAGGTTATAAGAGATGATTTAGATCCATAACAACAGCCTATTTCCTCAAAGCCCCCACCCAGTTCACAATTAGCACACAAACATTTAAAGAAACAGAAACAACAGCTGTGTTTGCCACAGCGTTGCTGTTTGTATCTATACATACAAAAAGTAATGCACTGTAATTGGTTAGTTTCCCAGAAAATTAATTTGCAATATTGACAAAGTCCTCCTGGTAAGGAGGTCGGGGTGGACCAGAAGTCAAAGTTGATTTAATTGTAAACGTAACTTCCATAGTCATGTAACACCACTTCCATTAGTTATTTTCACCCAAATCACAATCTTTTCCTCAACCTAACCATTCCTTTTTTTACTTTGAGTACCAAATGTATGTAACAAGCGGTTTGTTTTACTGGACATTTGTAGGAGAATGCACGTAAAATGAAGAATAACTTTTTTGGAATTAACATACCCTTGTATGTGAATGCGTGGAAATAATAGGGGATGCAAATGCAACAAAGAGATGTGAACGCCAACAAAAAGGTTTAAATCGCCAACAAAGAGACGCAAATCATCAACAAAGAGACGCAAATCATCAACAAAGAGACGCAAATCATCAACAAAGACGCAAATCATCAATAAAGAGACGCAAATCATCAATAAAGAAAAACAATATCAACAAGAAGATTTAAAACGCCAACAAAGAGACGTAAAATACAGACAAAGTGATACAAATTGTCCATAAAGAGACGCAAAATGGCCACAAAGTGACTCAAGACCTCAACAAATATACGTAGAAAGCCAAAGAAGAAACATAAAACGCCAACAAAGAGACGCAAAACGTCAACAAGAAAGCAGAAAACTCCAATGAAAAGATGTAAAACGTCAAATAGAAAATAATCTACAAACCCAAAATGGCTTTTCCCAAACACTGTTTGTGGCCGTTGGTATGAATAATGCACAGTCATTTTTGTCCCTTGTAAACCAGAAGTCAATGTTCATTTATTTGTTATCAAAACTTCTGTTATTTTACACCCTTCACCTAAAACGAACCAACTTGTTTCTGATCAAGACTGATCAATCAACTTTCAATTGAAATCATTTCCTGGATATCTTTTGGAGAAAACGCTTTTCGCAAAATATCACATGCAGTTTTTTTTCTCATACACTTTACTCATACTTTATTATATATTTGTGTTTTTAAGGATTTGTGTTTGGGTCTCTGCATGACGCCGTATGGGGGATAACTCCCTCTTTATCCTTTCACTTTGTTGAAACAACTAATGGTATATATTTGAATAGGCCTATAACTGTATTAGATAGCAGTTTCCTTTATATTGGAATACAGAAAGAGAAGAAAACGTGAACGTTGTTTTAGTAAACAGCTGCTAAGTTGTGACGTCAGGACTCTCTATGAGTGTGTCGACTTTATGTTTGTGCACCATGAACAGCAGCAGGAAGATCTGGATGATGAAACACGAGTCTCTCTCTCTCTATAAATACTCTTACAGTTGGTCTTCATGTTCATGCCGGACCATCAGCAGCAGCATTCCCTCTTTCAGTTCACCAACAACACCAAGTCTTCAAATATTTGGCATAAAAAATCAGAAGGTTTGCACCATCGCTGGACTTGTTGCATGGAGGCTCATATATCCCAGATGTCCCTGTGGACCACAGGGTGAGATGAACATCAGGTGACCCACACTTTTCTCCTAATCCAAATCGAGGCGTGGGTGTCGGGGGAGTGTCCATGCTCGTCGTCGTCGTGCAGCAAGAAAACAATAGCAGGGAACAGATTTAGTTTTTCATCTGGTGCAGGCGCTGGAGAAAACGATTCAGGAAGTTCGGGGAGGGGAAACGGAGTCGTGTCGGACGGATGTTGTCGTGCAGTCGGTGTGTCGCCATTATTATTATTTTTTGATCAGGATTTTAAAATTACTGAAAAAGAGAAAAAGACAGAAAGTCACACATATTTAAGAGTTCATCTTGACCATATTATTATTAATATACTCTACTGTATATATTGTGATTTGCTGTCGTTACATATTGTAGTACAGTAGAAGTAGTAGATATATGCACATTTTAATTTAACTTCTCAATTGTTATTCACTTATTTATTTTATTTAAATGTATTCGATTTTACATTTTATATAGTTACAAAATGCAATTTCCGCCAAGATAAATATAGTACTTTGATCCTGATCCTGAACAGCATTTAATACAATTGTAAAAGGTATCTAACTACATTTACTTAACTACAAATTAAAGTGACTTATACTTGAGTCTTTAAAAAACAATAAGGTCATTTCAAATTTAAATTGTGTTTTTGTGTAGTTTTTGGTGTTCCGTGTAACTCACATCCCCAGTTGAGGGCGATGGCCGCGGCGATGATGGCGATCCCTCCCAAGATGGCGACCACAGACAGAATCATGGCATTGCGGCCTAAACGGCGAGCTCCGTCCACGTTGCCCTGCTGCAGACTGTTCCGGGACTGAACAGAGTATAAACAGTGAAGAAAATGTCATTAAAAACATCATTATAAACTAAATGTTGAATGTGCAATACAATGGCTGTCAAATAATGAAAGATCTGTAACAGATGTCCTGAAACACAAGACTATACATTCAGGAGGATGTTAAAAACCTTCCAGGTGACGTCAAAAACATTGTTGTTTTATTTGGTCCCTGTGAGCTCTGTTACACTTTATACTTTTAAATTCATTTTTTCTTCAGGCACTTTCTACCGTGAAAACAAGGATGCGTCAGATATTGCTACCAAAAATATCAAGTTCTTTTAAGTTATTATCCGAACTAGCCGAAATGGTGATTGTTGAAGAAAGAGAAGAAGAAGAAGAAGAAGAACTAACCTGTAACTAACCAATTTCCCAGCTAATTACAGTCAATCATTTAATTTAAAATAAGATAAAATAAGATGGACCTTTATTAATCCCTGTAGGATTACACAAAGGAAAGTCTACGGTCGTACCATGACAGAGAAGGTGAGGGCTACGATGTTGATGGGCCACAGCGGGCAGAAGCAGGACAGGATGGCGAGGAACAGGTAGTCGCGGGGCTTGGACCCGTCCACAGCAGCCTCCGTGATGCCGCTGGGCCGGCGGGTGAGGGAGGGCCGGGGGGAGCCCGCCATGGACCCCGAACGGCTGCTCAGACCGGGCCGGCCATTAGCATGGCCGCCCACCGCGTGGAGCTTGGGCGACACTGAGGACACCGTGGGAGACGCGTCCCCCATCGCATGACCCAGGCCGTTATCTGCAACACAAGGTTCCAGAGAGGACATTTGTTCAAAATAAAATGTAAAAGTGTTTACAACTTCAGTAGTACCAATGAACTTGTAGCTGAGAGGCGCAGACAGGAAGTCTGAAACTATGACGCACTAACATATTGAAAAAGGAATAATACCATTACTTCTGAGCATCATTTTAAGCCAGGGCTGTAGATTTAAAGCTTAAAGTAGCATAAAATGAAAAAAAGTCAAGTAAAAGTACATCAGTATTATACTTGGCTGCAGTACTTAAATGAATAAAGTGCATGGGAATTAAGTGTTGGGAGGTGTCTATACACAGGTGCGGGTCAGGTGTATTTACTGGTCTCCGCGTTGTCGATGACGGACAGGTGGGCCATATTGTCCGTTTGATTGGCTGCTGAAGCATCTGCTGCCGGGGGTGGTTGAGAGGTCACGGCGGCGTGGTCGCTCATCCCTTCATGATGCTCGCTGATTGGCTGCTTGGACTCCATGCTGTTGCTGGTGGTGGCCGTGAGGCGGTGAACAGGAAGTGTTGAAGGAAAGCTAAAGGCAGGGCGCGATCTGAAACACAATCACAGACATAAAGCTTTATTACATATATTGTAAACCTTTTGTTTGATTTCATTTATTTAAAAAAGGTGTTATCCATAAAAAACATAATAATACTCAATACTCCCAACAATACCCAAACCTCTACTAGTAGTGGTAATGTAACTAAGTACATACTCAAGTATAGTTTAAGGATACTTGGACTACTTCGAGTGTTTCCATTGTATGCTACTTTATAATTTTACTTCACTACATTTTGTGGATGTAGATTATCAGTACAAAATATAGTAGATTAACAACAATTATTCTTTGGTGTGCCATAGTAGCAACCCTTCATATCTTAATAGTTCAAAGTAAAACAAATAATGAAATTCAGCCAAGGACCTTAAGGCCTCCAGGAGAGAGGTGGTTGGATCTGTAAAATAAGATCAATCAAATAAATAAATAAGCATTGTTTCTATAGCATCTGAGCGATGGCTGCTGAAAGAAAAGCGTTTTTTTTTACAGCACTGACAACATGTTGCTTTCTGAAAAAAGAAGAAAGAATCTGTTGCCTGGAGCAACAAATATGAATATAAAACACCCATATGTTATATAATATACAGATTTGTCTGTGTGGGCAAGGGTCATGGTAAGGTTTTCCGGGTGTGTAGGTGGAAAATGTATATATATATATAAATATACAGTGGAGGAAATAAGTATTTGATCCCCTGCATATTTTGTAAGTTTACCCACTTACAAATAAATGAACAGTCTATACTTTTAATGGTAGGTTTATTTTAACAGTGAGAGTAAGAATGTCAAGAAGAAAATCCAGAAATTCTGGCTCCCACAGTCCTTTAAAAAAGTACTCCTAATATCAACTTGTTACCTGTAAAAGACACCTGTCCACAGAATCAATCAATCAGATTCCAACCTCTCCACCATGGGCAAGACTAAAGAGCGGTCTAAGGACCTCAGGGACTAGACTGTAGACCTGCACCAGGCTGGGATCGGCTACAAGACCATCAGAAAGCAGCTCGGTGAGAAGGAGACAACTGTTGGTGTCATTATTCAGAAGAATAATGTGTGTGTTTCTAAATGGAAGTAACACAAAATGAGCATCAGTCGGCCTCGGTCTGGGGCTCCACACAGGATCTGGCCCCGTGGGGTATTGATGATGATGAGAAAGGTGAGCCAAGAACTACACGGAGGAACTTGTTAATGATCTCAAGGCAGCTGGGACCACAGTCACCAAGAAAACTATTGGTAACACACCACACCATAATGGATCAAATCCAGCAGCGCCTGAAGGCCCCCTGCTCAAGAAGGACATGAACGGCCCGTCTGAAGTTTGACAAGGAACATCTGAATGATTCAGAGAAGGCTTGGGAGAAGGTGATCAATTTTGATGAGACCAAAATGTTGATCTTTGGCATGAGGACGAGAAATGCTGACTATAACCCCCCCCCGTCGAGGTGGAAACATTATGCTTTGGGGGTGTTTTGTTTTTTTAACCATTTGTACCTCTAAGCGTTTTATTTAGTATGAATAAGATAACGGAGTGTCTAATCGCACCCAGTTGAAAATAGCTACACCATAGCTCTTCACCCGGGGTGTAAATAACATTGTTGACTATTGTCACCTGGGTGCAAATAGCATTTGCGTAAAGATACAATATTTGACATTTGTTATGATTGGTCTAAAGTCAGGATTGCGCAAACATTATGTTTATTATTATTTATGTCTTTTTGTATTTTTTTACACTGCACTACTACTGTATGTGTCCATATCATTGATATTCAATTTGTTATATAATACTTGATTGTGCTCCTAGTTTTTTCTGATTGTGCTTAGTTTCCTCTGTTCTTCAGCCAAGCAGTTTTGCATATGCCAGAACATTTTCCACTAAAGGGACATTTTGTCTGCAGATGCGATGCCTGTCTGCGTTCTGAGGCAGCACTGAGAGATGTTCCTGCAGCACGGTGCTGCAGCCCCCCCGCAGCCTTCCCGCAGCTCTTTAATATCCCATCACATCGATCTTGCGTCTTTTCATCATAAATGAATGTTATTGTGAGTCTGTCAGCAGATTATAAACAGACTCATTGATCTGAGCGACAGCCCGCAGGCCGGCAGCTTCCTAGAGAGCAGATTTAGGAGGAATCTTTGCTGCAGCAGCATGAAGCGACACACTGAGGACTG